AGCCAGCATCTTTGTCGGGCCCTGCCGCGGGGAAGAAGAGCGGCGAGACCCGGGCGGCGAGCTACCGGTGCCCCCGTCTCTCCTCGGGGCCTTCCTCCCCCGCCTGTGCTTCCCGGGCCCTGCCTCCGTTCCCGGCGGGTTTCTTTCACTCCTCTCGGCTGGATATCTCGGTTCCGGAGCATCGTCGGTGGGACCGGCCGGGCCGAGCACGGGTGGAGGACTAACGTGGAGGAAACAACAGGTCTCCCTTCTCGCCTTCCAAAGCGATACCAGCGCCTCGCTCTTGGGATTATAAATGTTTGAACTAAGACCCAGGAAACTGAAAGGAGAGCCTCCCATTGGAGTTAATAGAAGAGAAAAGGGAGGCTTTTCAAAATTCTTTACGAGAAAGCTGGTGCCGTTTTCCCATGCTGTCTGTACTGTCTTTAATAATGCAATTGTGACCTGAGTGGAATTTATGAGCGATGAACTATTGAAACTTGTTGCACCACTGCATCAGACTACATTTTTTTTTTTTTTCCTTCTCAGCATATGATTCCCCCATCCCAGCTGTTGCAGGACCTCTGGGCCAGTAATAGAGGGATGGGAAGCTGAGAGTTTATTTTCACATTCTTCTGTTCTGGGGACTTGGCTAGTTAGCTGAAGCTGCTGCTGCTGCTTTTTACTGGATCTGTTCTGTTCTCGGCAGGTTTATTTGTTTTCACGTGCACGGGGTGTTTCAGTTAAATAGACGTTGGACTAGAGCCGAATGGATGCTTTGCAATCCGAAAGGTTTTTGGGGATAACAGAAGACTACTAAAAACAGAGAAGAACTGGTACTGCAGGAAACCTGGGGCCTGTTTTCCAAGCCTTTTTATTTTATTGAGCAAGGTAAATAACATAGTGGTGTTGAAAATAGAGGGCTTACGGTAACCACGCATGAAAATGTTACAAAGCGCTTCAGGCTGTTCCGAGGCTTTCAAGGGATTGAGAGGTCCCACAGTAAGGCTCAGAATAAGTTTAATTGTTTTTTAAAATGTTCAGATACGAGTATGAAATTTAAGGCTGAGAACAAACTTGATGGTACCTGTGAGGTTGTGTGCTATTTTTTCTGGTTTGCCTTGGCTTGTAGGTTTGTGATGTTCAGAGAGGCTGTCTGGAGAACTTTAGAAGTCTTAGTGGTTCAGTGAGAGTCTGCAGTAATTATATTAGTGGGGTTTTTTCCATGCTTTTTAAAAACTTGATGCCTTAGCCTCTTGTAAGGCTCTGTTACGGTCTCTTAAAACCCCTTCCAGTTTAACAGTAGTACAGTACTTACGTTTGCATTGTTAACTGTGTTCATACTCTGCCTTTAATTATTTTTGCTTACCTTTGCTTTTGTTATCCGCAGTGACAGCTGCTACCACTTCATAATGAATTTTTTGCTTTTTATCTTCCTTTACATGTGTATCTCCTGAATTAGACTATTTGGATTTACCACTAATTTACATGCATCACTTTTACCGTAGACTTTCTACAGCCAGCACAAGCTCAAAGTACTGTTTTAGATACTATCTTTGTATGTTTCAAGCGTTGGAAGAAGCAGATAATGGTTCTCAAAATATGCAGCGTAATCAGTTACTGGTTTAAGCGTGTAATTTTTGGTGGCATGCTGCATGCCTTATCTTTGTTTTTTTAAAGATCTCAGCAGCAGTTTGCTCTTGACAAAAATACAAATCCATGAAAATGAGATCACAGTTTGAAACGTAGCTGTAAAAATCTGGTTTTGCAAGAAGTCACAAGATTCTCATTATGAAGTGATGCCTTGATTAAATTGATTGTATACCTTTTCTCCTGCAGTCTTAATGAAATAGTGGCAAACACTAAGGTGTTGGCAACCTGTGCTGATGCTATCGTTGGGAAAGCTAAGTCGATACTGCAGTAGCATCCAAAGTTCCTTTGCTTACCCTGTTTAGATTTGACTTAAATTTATGGTCTTTGTTTTGTCTTATTTTGTTTCAAGATGATGTGTGAGGTGATGCCAACCATCAGTGAGGCAGAGATTCCCTCTGGGGGAAATGGAGGCCATGGTTCAGGTTCCCCGTTACAGTCAGATGCTGATTCCCATTTTGAGCAATTAATGGTGTCCATGTTGGAAGAAAGGGATCGCCTTCTGGAAACACTAAGAGAAACTCAGGAGACGCTAGCATTGACCCAGGGCAAGCTGCATGAAGTTGGTCATGAGAGAGATTCCTTGCAGAGACAGCTCAATACTGCACTTCCACAGGTATGGACATTTTGAAAGGAAGGTATCTTTCGATAATTTTTGTGTTCCTTGTGGTATTTTCGTGGCTTTTTGTATATTTAATTTACTGAAAGGTCAGGTTATGTTAGGGGAAGATGAATCTAGCTTGGTGCTCTCCTGAAGTATCTGTTGGTGCTTGCTCACTTTGAGAAAGATACAGAAGCATGGCAAGTGGGGAACAGCCCTTTCCCTCCAGCATGCTTTCCCGGTTTCTGGCATTTCTTTGGCTTAGCCTGAGTGTGAAGTTCTATCTACATCCTTCTGTTTAACAGAACTTCGTGGGCTTTCTTCTGTCACTGGCATATGTTTTAATGTTGTTTGTAACTGCCCAATTCATTCACGCACTGAAGAATTACATACAGGCCATTCTGGGAAAGAAAGCAGGCCGTTCTGATAACATTGTGGACTTTGATTTGAAAACCTGAAAAGTTTGACTGCTACGTTGTGAATACATGCTGAGTTGTCATGGCACTGTAGATGTCTGTGTTGTTTAACTCATTTAATCCTTCTGGATAGTTTAGATTTGTTTTTTTTCTGTTTGGTCTTGCTAGGAGTTACTTATTATTGACTTGTGGAGGATGCAGTGTACCAACATACAGCCTGTAGTGCTAAATGTGTTACGTAGGGCAGTAGTGTGTAGTTAGGAAAGGTGACTGGTGTCTGCAGACATCCTCATTTTTTTTATCCCTTCTAGTTAAAAAGAATGCAACTGAACTTTGAACACTTTGAAAAGCATTTGGTTGTAGGCAAAGCAGAGGCTGCTTTCAGGTGTCAGTTAACTGTTGGTAGCCTTGCACTTTCTAGCATGGTTGGTTGTTGTCCCAAGTATGGCATGATGACGTTACACTAGCATACATTATTCCAAGAATACTTACCATTTTTACAAATGTTTACATATCCTTAAATATTGTAGTTACTGTTTATACCCTTTAAAACAGTAGTTTTAAACCGTTCTGTTTCCACTGCTCTCATTATAATGCAATCACTCTGTGGCACTTGGTACGGTAATGGGTACTGGCAATTCCTAAGGGGTAGAAACGAAAAAGTAGTATGTCGTATCTGGTTGTGTTACAATGGTGTGATGGAAATCAGAAGTTTCCAACCTTTGCTGCTCCCTGTGTTAAATCATGTGCTGCAGGGAAAAATAATTCTTTGGGTTTTTTTGGTCGTAGTAATTGTGGCTTCTCTTTAGCCGCTGTTCAGGTCTGCTACGTTAAGGGATGCCATTAACCAATTGGATGATCTGTAAATTGTTGGACTTGAATTTGTGGCTGAATAGAATCGCCCAAGCTCTGAACTGTACTGTTCCTCTTCTCCCTTTTCAGTTCTCAGCTTTCCTTCCTCAGTCTAGTAAGCTACTTACATGTAAACATTTCTTTCTAAACATTTCTGAAAGATTAATGCAGTTAAAAAACCAATTCCCATTTTCAAGAATCTTGTAATTGTATGGTTTCATGTGAAATCTGCAGGAAAGCAAGTCTCAGAGTTCAGTTGAGAGAGACATTTCATTGCAATTTTATATAAATACACAGCAGTGTATGGATTTTTGTAGATTGCTGTTGAGAAATATTGTTGTCATGATGTGAAACTGCCATTTTTGTCCTCAGTGGTGCTTAGGCTCAAATGATTGTAGAACGTGACAATTGATGGTGCTTTGAAAAGTCAAAAATATTTTATTATTCTTGCTACAATCAGAAATTTGACAAGTTTTTGTTATTATGGTATAGTCAGTTACTTCATAGGTGTAAATTTCTGATGAGGTGAAACAGTGTTTGTCTTGGGTTTTTTTTGAATTCTAATAAGTATTCACTAGGAGAGCTTTGTGGTGACTGTAATATTTGAAACTATTCAAACTTTTTTGTTAATTATTTCAAGATGAACATTCTTTTGAACTGCTGTCTCAAGCGACCCATTGTTTAGCTGTGGATTTCAAGGAGGGGTAGAAGCAGGATAACTTTAAATTTACTGACAATTGCATTATATTTTTTTCAGGACAGATGGAATTTAATAGTGAACACTTCTAAAGGTTTTTTTTATCATAGTAGCTGTTTTCGATTTAGTAGAAAGATGTGAAGATCAGTTTAACTCGTACAAATACTAGTATAATTGCCTGAATTACTAAATCACTGTGCAACCAATGTGTTATTTCTCCCTCAGACTTGGCACGTAGCTTGTAACATGTCTTTGTAGCTGATTTTGGAGTACTTTATCTTAAGGAGTATTGAATTGTTTGTACGTACACTTTTCCTGTTTTATATATTTAGCTGAATCAGCCAGTTAAACCATTTTATACTCCTTGTATAAAAGAAGGAATGTCAGATTGATTGCTTCTGCACCAAAACTACTTCCCTGTTTTAGCATGAAGACACTCAATTTCTAATGGCATCCGTGTACTGAATTCCTTACATTCACGGAGTTTCTGTGTACAAGGAAGAGGCTTACACCGGTGTACATGTAGTTACCAAATGGCAAATTGGTACTTGTGTGTTTGAACGTCTTGTAGATTAGAAAAGTGAATGCAGTTTGTCCTGCAGCGGTGATGTGCACTTTCTGGTGTCAGAGAGGTAGGCTTTTCTAGTATCCCTGTCGTGTGGTGGTCAGCTAGTGATTGGAAGGCATCAGTTCTAGGTCCTATAAACCCGAAACAGTTATTTAGTGTGAGAAGACTTTTGTTGTGGCTGTCTAATTCACGGACAGAAGAGCATTCTAGTCGTACATAGATGTACTTTATCTGTTACATTTACATGAGTAAAACTGACAAGTTTTTCTTGTATGGACAGCTGGAAATGAAATACATCAACAGTGTCTTGATAAAATAACTGGATTCTTGGCAATGCTTCTTGTTTTCTGGGAGTTACCTTCTATTACAGATTACCCTGGTCAGACTGTACTCTGACCTTGGAAGATTAACTTGATGCAAGCAAATTCCTGTGCAAGAACTTCATTTTAAGTTTATTCTTAAAATTTTTCACAGAAAAAAATGAAAATAAACTTTTTACTTTGAGAACCTAAAGAACTTCTATTTTTAATGTAAACACATTCAGTTATGATTGAATTGTAGTCCTAGAGGATTTAATTGTGCCCTTTATGTGCCTTCTAGAGTGTATTCTACAGAACTGAAGGTTTGTGTGCTTAAAATTTATAAGTTAATCTATGAAACATACAGGATGCTACTACATTTAAAACTTAAATTTTGAACTTAAGGCAGATGAGGTCCAAGTGACTACCAGTTCTTCCTATTCAGGTGTTGCAGGCTAGGGTTCATTTTGCTGGTAGAATTTCATGTAGACGTTTCTGTAAAGTGAGAACAAGATGCTTGTTTTGGATGGAGAAGACCAGAGTTTAATTTACAGAGACCCTTGTACCTAGCAGAAATAAAAGCACAGTTGATGAAGTCGCAGCAACTTTTATCAGGATGATGGTTTTAATATGTACGTTAAGAATTTTATAAGCTGATGTACAGATATTATGCTTCTGTAATACAGCAGTACTCTAAGATCTTGCACTACTAATCTTTTGGTCTTAAATTTATCATACTTTATTTTCATTTCTATGCAAGATAAGTAAAATAAAAGAACTTTTTTTCTGTATTTGTGATGCTTCTGTTTAGAATTTCTGTGTTCAGCAACATATATATAAGGGCAGATGAGACCTTTCTGTCAGAGGCTGTGTGTGTCTGTGTGTAAATAAGAGCACTTTACTGTAGTGTGGAGTTAAATGTGGAAAAAAAGCTGCCTATAATTTTGGTTTGGCTCTGGCTTTACTAGGTTGCCCATCATATCTTAATTTAAAGTGAGTCCGCAGCAGGCCATCTTTAGTTGCTTTCTATCTATAGTAAATATCACTACTGCACACTTCAGTTAAAAACAGTGGGTGTCCATTTGTATTCAATTAAATTCAGGCATGTCTCTCTAGAGTGATCTTCCTTGGACAATCTCACATATTCCTGAGATGTTTGGTGTCTCGCATGTAGGGAATATCTAAACACTTGGTCTAAAGACTGCCCTGGTATTGTTTTATAATGATGAACTTAAGGATTTAGTTGCCATTTTCATAATGGTGTGACTTGGCTTTCCTCAAGACAAGTTTTAAATAATACAGGATGTCGTAGACGTAGAAATGAGGTTTTGAATTCTACATAATATGAAGAACACAGTTGCAGAAAGTACATTAAGTGAAGGGCTTGCCAAACTTTGCAGCAGCTGAAATTCCGTTAGCGTTTGAAGCGAAACTCCATTTACAGTATTTGCAACAGTTCAGCCTTGAGGTGACATAGTTTGTACTTACTCTAGCTGGTAACTGGCTTCTAAATAGAAGACATTAATCTCAGCGGAGCGCCATGTGTCTAGAAATGATAGAGATCCAGAAGGATTTCAGATGTGCAAATGTGTGTCAGAGCAGACATGTCCTCCGTTTCTCTCATCCCATTCTGACAGCAAAGATGAACATGACTCCTAGCGTTGCGTTTTCAGACAGCTATAATTTTAGTCTTGTCTATGTTGAGTTTCAGTTGCTAAATCTTTCTTGCTCTTACTGGTAGTGCATTACTGAATAGATTTGTCTTTATCGACACTGGTTTGAGTCAGATGGGGATAGGAGTTAATGTTCAGAATTCTTCTCTGACTATCAATAAGCCTCAGCTTCCCAACATTTCTTTCTTTGCAAGGTGTAGAAACGGGCAACTTTTGTCCAAAGCCTTCAGAATATGAAGTTACCTGCAAGTGTGCTTTATTGGGCAAAAAGAGGAGTAGCTACACTTAAATAACATAGTGGAGTATATTGAGGGTCAAGTCTCTAGCATTTGTTCTCACTTCTTAGCTTCTCGTTTAAATACATTTGGGTGAGTTTGTTTATTGAAACATCCCACCCCTACCCAGAAGACATCTGCTTGCTTATTGTTAGCAACTTGCTGTTTATACTGTGCTTTTCGTTTAGCTTATCTTGATTATAAATAGACCTTTTAGCTACATTAAATTTAGAAT